AGGCCTTGGGGCTGCAACTTTTGAAAGCCTTATACCTAAATCATGGAGAGGTTTGCTGCTAAAATTTTAAATTTTAGGTTTGGGGGTCCGGTCATGTCTGCGGCCATGGCAAAATCAGGTGAGTGATGACAGCCTGCCTGCTCGTAGAGTGTGCAGTGGTAACAAGGCCAGCAAGTTGATAAGTGTCAGCACTTTGCGCAGCGGGTGGACTCTTCGGAGGCGGTAGAAACACGTGATGACCGCAATCCAATGCTCAGCCTGCTAAATGGTGGCCAGGAAGGATGAGGCACCAGATTGAGGCCTGTATTTGGGCCTGTGTTATGCAGCGGGCCTTGTTGGCCTGCTTCACTGCCTAAGGCACACAGTGTCTATCAATTGAGCCAAGCTCCCCTTGACCGTATGGCATCCAGGGGAAGGGGCCTCTGCACCCTGTGCCCTGATACCTGGGGAGAGATGGGTACCGGGGTATGCAGGCCGTCCAAGATGGCAGCCGCTCCCCTTTCAACTTCCTTGTAGGATTGCCAAGAGGGCAGGACGAATTTCAAGGGAGAGAAGCCGAAGAAAAAAGAGTAGGCCTGAAGCCTAAAGAGAAGGAATGCTGCCCCCCCACACGCCTGTTGACTCCATTGAACGGCAGCAGCAGCAGCCACACAGTCCAAAATGGCGGCTGCGCCGATCAAAGGCTGTAACAGCCGTCAGAAAGTCAGCAGGCAGTCGCCTGCACTAACCCCGGGAGTCCGGAGAAGCCGCAGGGCTGAAGAAAAGCTTAAACGGAACCGCACATCAACGAAGCCGGCTGATTAAGCCACGGTGGATCGCCACGCAGCTTCCAAAATGGCGGCTGCAATGCTCTGGCCGCAAGGAAAAGGCACCCGAGTCCTCAGAGAGGAGCCAGAAACAAAGGTGGCTATCCGAGGCCTCTGTAAAAGACCAGAAGCTGAGGGGTGGGGTCCCAACTGCAGCGCTGATCCCATAATCACATTCAGAAACAGTTTTTGTTAACGCCTCTGTTTTTATCTTGGAATTGCTATTTTTTTTTACCTCCACCCTTGGCATACCACTTAACAATCAACAGAAGAACCCAGCTGGAAAAAGGTTGCACATCTCTGATGTACTGTAACCCTGTTTTCTTCCTGTTGATTTATTTTCAGATTTCAGATTTCTTTAGCAAAGTATCTGGCTTCCTGATTAGCACATAAAATAGCTAAAATAATTATATTTATCTTTATAGATTAGTTTAATATTATCTATATTGCTGAATATTACATAACCCTATTGTAGAAATAAAGCACTATTCTTTATTTAGAATGAGAACATCATCCTGGTATCTGAAATGCTCACTTGGCATGCAAAAAATTGTATTTTCACGGAAGCTTCTTGCTTTAAATCCAGAAAGACTGCCACCAATCAGTACTAATAGTATTGTACTAAATTGGACCAAGCACAGCATGTTTATGATATTGGGCCATTGATTTGGATGATATTGGCAATGTGTGACAGTCTGATGAATAATAAAGAGTGAAGCGCATATAAAATGTAATTGACTGAAAGGAGGGGTTAAATGCTTCATTTTTCTTTCACCAACCTATTTGGCATTCCACCTGACTGAGAATAAGTGAATCCCCTTACTCCTTGGCTAGTATTGGCATAAAGGAGCTTGGCAAATGGAGAAATGGCTCCCATCTAGTCTGTGTTTTACTTTGGTAGGAATTCTGTACCTTTGTCTGCACTATTTATGAACACGAGCAACAATTGACACCAGGCAGACTGAAAATGGGTGCACATGTACTTAGTGATATGAATGTAATGGTAAATTTTGAACACAATGGATTGAATAAATGTACCAGGCCTAGTTTTCAGATAATTATATGCAAAAAATACCTGAATAATAATAAATTATTTTTTTGTTTTTTGCTAATATAAACATTATTTTTTTGAACACATGGATTGCCTTGTAAAATTTCAGGACTACAGGAAATAAGGATAAATAATTTTTTTCCTAGTTGTATATGTTATACAGAAAACTTAATTTTAAAATGTAGCTATATATGTAATTGTTACTATCAGTATCGCTAATGCCAAATGCAATTTGCTTATCTTAATTGTTTGGGAAATCCAATGCATTATAAAATGGATTAAGTTATAGCAGGTAAAAGATTAAAATGTATTGTAAGTATAAAGGTGACTTGGAAAGATACTTTTAAATCTCTTGGATGAACTGTTATGAAGGCCACAACTTCGTAAAAATGCCCTTTTCACTACATAACTTAATACTCATATGGATTCAGTATCCTTGAAATCTTTCAAGATTCTTGATGGGGTAGCATTTTACTTTTCTTAAACAATTAAAGTAATATGGTTAGGATTATATTTTTCTCTGTATATTTTATTTCTCAATTATGTAATGTACTTAAAAAGAAATAAGATTTGAATGTATTTCTTTTTATCAGTTGGCTTGCAGCAACTCAGTTTGAGCCCCTGTCAGCAAGAGCAGCATTCCCTTGCTTTGATGAACCAGCATTCAAAGCCAATTTTCAAGTCAAAATCAACAGAGAACATCAACACATTGCTCTGTCAAATATGCCAAAGGTATAGCTATCCATATTTTTGTTTTTTGATGTTTATACAGTTACATGCTCATAGCGTGTGTCCCAGAACAGTAAAATTGTGTTACTTGGTAAAGAATCATTTTATGAATTTATGTATCTGTTAGTTACATTTTTGTATTGCCACAATAAAAAGATAAATGTAGCTTTAGAAGATAAAAAAAACTAAAAAGTTGAAAGTCTACTTTCCACTTTCCCTTGGAGGCTAGCTTGATTGCAGTGGGAATCCCACACATAGGATATGAAGGCAGTATGTATCTTCTTTTTGTCAACAGAAACAGAAATTGCATTTTGTAACTGACTGCATTTCAGTGGACTGATTTTTAATTACTGCAAGGCCTAGAAAAAATGGTAGTGTGGTTGCAGAGATATTATGCTAAATGGAAGGATATGGTAATATTTTTCCCCAAAAAAGTGGCTGGCAGACCTGCAAAATTAGTTTTCAGGATCAGAGGGAAGATAGGTGATCAATAAAAGGGTGAGTTTTGACTATTGCGACCTTTTTTTCAAGCCTGACATCTGTTCATGTTAGCTGAGCCAAATAAGGTCCCACTAAACTTAAAAGAACAAAGAAGTAGGTTGGATGCTGGTGGCCAGCTATTGAAGAGTGAAAATGTGAGACCAAACAGAAGAAAGAGAAAGTGGCTGAGAAAAAAATAATCAAGTATTGCTTTTAATTAGAATTTCAGTGTTGCTGAATGAAAGTCAGTTGAACTGGTATGACGAGATTATTTTTTTTTAAATGAAGGCATGGTGAAATTGGTTGAAGTAGGATTGAGACTAGACAGAAGATGGAGAGCATTGTAATGGTGGCAATTGATTATAAAATGAAAGAAAAAAAATGAGAAGATGGGAAAAGAGATAAGAACAGGATTCATTAAAATCCATGCCAGTGTGGTTCAGAAGTTAACAATGGCTAACAAAAGTAGCTGTTCAGTCTGAGGGGAGGAAAAAAAAAGCTGGGGGAAAAATAGCTGAAGAATCTTTTCATTAACAACATCTGGCCTAGGTAACTGAGAAGGCTGCAAGAAGAATGAGTGTTTAGCTGGTTGAAAGGCCAAACTACTGATCACCTGTAATAAGTGAGATCAGTTGGTGGTGCCAAGAGATGCAGACTGTAGCTATGAGTCCTGCATTGAGCAGCTTAGACACCAGGAACATAAAGCAGATTGCCATTGGGGGCACGGTCACTAAGGAAGTGCCACATATGATTGGGTAGCTTATTTAATGTTATATTCAGAAAAGAGACCCCTCTGGAGGCAGAAGGGGAGATTCCTACTTCAGTAAGAGTGGTGGTGTGGGAAGGAATCAACATGAATGTTTTGAGGATAGAAGTTGATATGAAAGTGAAAAAAAATGTAATGTGAAGTTGTACAGATTAGGTGAAATCTGACTCAATAGCAGTAACTGAGAGGGATCTTTGAGTGCTAGTGGATAATCACTTAAATATGAGCCAGCAGTGTGCATCAGCTGCCAAAAAAGGTAATGCAATCCTAGGCTGCTTAACAGAGGGAAAGAATCAAGATCACGTGAAGTGTTAGTATTGCTTTATAAGGCCTTAATAAGACTGCACTTTGAATAGTGCATCCAGTTTTGGTCACCAAATGTAAAAAAGATGTTGAGACTCTGGAACGAGTGCAGAGAAGAGTAACAAAGATGAATAGGGAGTTGGAGGCTAAAACATATGAAGAACGGTTGCAGGAATTGGTTATGTCTAGTCTAGTGAAAAGAAGGACTAGGGGCGACTTGATAGCAGTGTTCCAATATTTGAGGGGCTGCCACAAAGAAGAGGAGGTCAAACTATTTTTCCAAAGCACCAGAAGGCAAGACAAGAACCAATGGATGGGAACTAATCCAGGACAGAAGCAACCTGGAATTAAGGAGAAATTTTCTGACGGTGAGAACAATAAACCAGTGGAACAAGTTGTGGGTGCTTCATCATGGAGGCTTTTAAAAAGAGATTGGACAGCCATTTGTCTGAAATGGTATAGTCTGTTCCTTGAGCAGGGTTTGGAAAAGGAGATCTCCAAGGTCCCTTCCAATTCTGTTATTCTGTTACTCATTTGCTGGATGAGGCCACAGTATCATCACTATATATTATATATCTCCACCCTGAGCCAAGTAGTAATGCAGTGGGAATCTTGACCTGGTACTTGGGAAGCTATAGTGATTTGTTTAATGTGTATGTATGTGTGTATGATTTGTTTGGGGAGAGGGGGGAAGGTGGACTTTGAACTAAGCTGAATCCCATCATGGTTTAAGTCTGGTTGTCCAGACTTTAAGCCTTACATGGCTTGGAACTTAGCCTGTTAAGGAACAATTTCTTCAAGTGGATCATAAGCCTGTTAAGGAGCAATTTCTTCAAGTGGATCATATGCATACAGTACACATGTTGCAATTTGGGATGGAGAGTTCTTCCTTCCCCATATGGGATCAAAGGGGAAACAAGTACATTTTGTTTCTCAGCATTGGCACATATGTAGTTGACTTTCATCAGAAATCTGGGCGACTCCATCACTTCTGACCTCTATAGAAATGTTAGAAACTGAGATGTTCAGAAGAACATTTAATTATAATGTATCTCTGGGATCATATTATTAATTTTATTTTAGTAATATATAAAATATTTTAATAATTCTAGATTCTTAGTTTTTGCATTACATACATTTGATTTTTATTGTACACGATTATGAATCATTGTAGAGTCTACCACTATAGAAATCTAGCTGATTATGTATGATTATTGGATTCATGGTATTTCTGATGATAGACAGCCTGAAATATGAAAAAAAATAAAGCAAAAGAGTTTTGGTAAGATGTTTAGATTGTTTTCTTCTGCTAATTTGTATACATTTATTTGAGTTCAGAAATAATTACTATAAAAGCAAAATACAATGTATCCTAAGGCTTTTTTTGCTTCATTTATTTAATTAAATGATTGCTTGAGTATCAAAGCTTAATTATTGTGAGAATGCAATGCTCGCTGATTAGTAGCTGATTAGTAGTGGGATTAGCTGTTCTTTTTGGAAATTTTATTATGCAATTATTTGGCAGTCTAACAAATGTTCTCTAGAGTGTCTTTTTAACTTCTTTGCCATCATGTAATATCATTTTGTGCATAATATGTCCTAGTATGGGCTACCCTGATCTTTTCAAGTGAAATTGAAATAAAAGCAAAAATAGGGAGACTAATAGTTCTTCATTAAATTGCTTGCACACTTTGCTTTCATGCTATGAGTTCCTGTTTTTCATTGATGCTTTACAAATTTGGCATCATTGCTCTTAATAAACTGTATATTAAGTTAATTTAATGTACTGTTAGAGCACTCTTTTGAAGAAACCCTAGTCAGGCTGAGATCATATCATGAAGTAAATTGTGTTTGTACAAGCTGAGTATTAGCAGTGGTTCTTGCTAATACTCTGGATGAATGCTTCTTTCTCAGTTAACACATTCATGAAGCATATTACATACAGAGCAAATATCTTTATAAAATCAATGCTTATTATTTTTGGTTCAACCCTGGTAGATGAACTTGTTCTATACTGAACTTATTTTTACTTCTTAGATTTATTGATAACATTTTAATTTGCTAACTGTTGGGTAGTGCACTCATAGGAAATAACAATGTTTTGTACATTATGTTTTGCGTCTTAGCCATTCTCCAAGTACCTCAACATAGAACAGATGGCTTCTATGACTTATGTTCCAGGACCTGCAGCTTCTGTTTTACATAATTGAATTCTGATCTCCAGTTTATATTTCCAGAAAGCAACCAATCTTTTGGCTAATGGATTATTTCAAGATGAATTCTCTGTGAGCTTGAAAATGAGCACTTACCTAGTAGCTGTCATTGTTGGAAACTTGGACTATATCAGCAAGGAAATAAATAAGATTCTGGTATGTGGGCTTTTTGCTCCTGTAACCTCCCCCCCCCTCCAAAAAACCCCTTGTTTCCCAGTGTATTAAGTTACACTTCTTAGATTTGAATTAGTAATGTTCACTGGCTTGTGTCATTGCACTACTGAGAGTAGATTGTAGTTTTTTGACCTCACAATTGGCTTGGTAGTTGCTTTGTTTTTGACCATGTCAAATTATTACAGCATTCAGTAGTGTATGTTAATCTATTTGCCTATTTGTCAGGGCTAGAGGAGAAATGCTAGGAATCATTTTGAAGAAAGATCCATTTGCTGGCCTAAATCCAAAGACAGTAGTGTAAAGCTTTTCTTTAGTTCTTATTTTACCCACTACTTCCTTTTATTTCCACCTGATGAGATCTATTTTTATCTGGGGGAAATCTCAGCCACTCCTATTAATGCTAGTTGAGGAAAGGGGAGAAATACCAAACTTGTGGTTCAGACCTGAACTACGAACATGTATATATTAACATCATAGAAATGGCTCCTCTGCTATCAGGATATAAGTTTTAGAAATGAGAAAACAAAGAAAACATCTTTGTTTTATAATATGCTATACAAATGAAACTAAGACAACCATAACCTTTTTATCATAAATGATGAAAAATTGTTATCAGTGGATGCTCTTATTAATGCTGCCTTATCAACAAGCATAGAAAATCTTTGGTTCTTTTCATTAAGTAATGTAGAAAATGAAAAACTGAATTCCATTGAAACTTTTCTCTGACTTATTCTCTCTTTCCTATTGTGCCAGGTATCTGTTTATGCTGTACCACAAAAGCTGGGGCAGACTGAATACGCCTTGAACACAGCAGTGAAGCTTCTTGAATTTTATCAGAATTATTTTAATATAACATACCCATTTAACAAAATAGGTGAGAGATTGTTTATACTTACGAGATTATTGATCAAATCAACAAATTTGTGGGCTTCTCTTATAAAAAAATATTTTTAAAGACGGGCAAGTTGAACTTACTGTGGAATTTTTAGACACGTTGTTTAGTAATTCATCGAAAAATAAATTAAAACATTTATTTCAATCTGAAGGCCATACAGCTCTGATTAATTTTGTAAAAAGATTTTTAAAAAGCTGGTATGCAGAGTTTCCAAATGATGTCACACTTCTGTTACTTCATAAGCTGTGACATGCTCTCCTATTGCCTTTTTTTTTTTTTTTTTAAAGCAACGGTATTTGGAAATAATAATTGAGTCAGATCAGTTAAAATAATAAGCTGAAGAAGTAGTTGCACCCAGTTGAAAATTATGAGGGAAATAATTTTACCTTTCTGCATAAAGAAATAAGGGTTAATTCTTCCTGCTGTACTCTGAACTATGTGAATCTTCTAAATAATTTCAAATGTCAGTCCCACACATGATATATTTATTGGTGTATTGATTTAATGCCACTTATAAACAATTACATGTGCTAAAGCATCTAAAGGCAATTTATAATAAACAGATGATAAAACAATATAAAACAGTAACATAAAAACAATAAATAAAAACATATTCATTAAAGGGCTGGAAGAGGGTATTCCAACGTTCATATCAGGAAGTCCTGGAGAAAGAGTAAGTTTTTAGCAGGTGGCTAAAGATTTTAGAGTATTTTTTTTCCTTTTGTGCCTTTGAGCCAGTGCTCATTTCTGGTGACTATCTGGATTAGTCCGTACAGTTTTCTTGGCAATGTTTTTCAGTAGTAGTTTGTCATAGTCTTCTTCCTAGGTCTGTGAGTGACTGGTCTAAAATTATCAGTTGGCTTCGTGCCCAAAGCAGGAATAGAATTTCACAATCTCCCAGTTTCTAGCCTGGTGCCTTAACCACTACACTAAACTGAATGTTACAGTAATTGCCTCCTAAATTTCAAAGGGGAAAATGCATTCCAGAGTATGGGTACCAACACGAAAGCCACACATGAGCACCTGCCAAATGGCACTCAGCAGCTCTTGGTACATGTAGTGATTTCAGTGACCATGCAGTTCAATAGCACAATGAGGTGATTGTTTATCTAAAAGTTACAAAACATTGATTCAGGCAGACAGTAGTAGTGTAACTTGCACAACACTTTTTGGGGGGGTTGTGGGTAGGAGCTTGTGCCTAATGCCAAATATATAAACTTAAAGAGAATGCCTAAAGAACACAGCTGGTTTATATCTAATCTCAATAAAACTAACCAGAATTAATGGCAATAGACAATGTGTAGGTATAACAAGAGTAATCGAGAAGGGAACAAGTCCAGAAGAAGAAAAAAGTGCTGTCTTAGTTTTTGTCTTTCTTTTTCTAACTGGATTATTAATGTTATTACTGTTAACAACTCTTTGTTTAACCTTGAGGTAGGATTAAGGCTGCCAATAGTTATTTTTATTTGCTAGGAAACAAAAGAGGAGAGTGCTTTTACTCTCGTTTCACTTGCCTGTAGGCATCTCATAGGTTGGCCATTTTGGGAATGCTTAGATTAAATAAATCGTCAGTTTGATCTCATTTTAATGAAATTTCTTTTATCATAGCATGATATTATACTCTAAGAGGGCATATTCTCAGGAAGCAAAAATGCCTTTTAGAGGTCATAGCTAATATTAGGGTGGGAAATACAGATGAGATATAATGCTAACAGTCAGCAAAAGTAGTAGATAGGCAAAATAAATTACTACATAAAATTGTATGGTTTTAAATATAATATGATAGATACATCCATTTATAAAGTTAAATATAATTGAGTTATATTTTAGTTTCTGGTATGTGTATACACACTAGTTGAATGTACATAATAATGTAATACTGTAACAGAGCTTTTAATGAATGGGAGTGCAGTGGGCAAAATGTAATATTTATTTACTTATTTATTTTATTAAATTTGTATGCTGCCCATCTATCAAGCAAGTCTGAGTGTCTAATTAGTTTACAGTCATGATAAATGTGCAGCCTATGGTATTTTGGCATTTTGTAAACAAGTAAGAGAGATTGCTTCACTGCATTATTGTATGATTAGAAATGGGGAATGCTCATATTACCTTTTTGAGAAGACATATTTATGTGCCTGCAAAATAAGAATTTTAAAAAAATTCTTTAGTTTATAAAAGATGTGGGACAGATTAAATATTTAGACAAATTGATCATATGTTGTTTAAAAGTGACAAGAAGTTCAGCAATAGATAT